GCCCTCCTCTTTATAGAGCTTTGCCAAATTTTCATTAAAATTTTGCTGTCGACAATGGTGAAAGGCATATAGGGCGCCAGAGGATTGGAAAAAGCAACAACTGGGGATAAAGTACTAGCCCTTCCAACAAAGACCTAATACAGCCCTGTTGCCATTTCCATTGAGAACCCTGACACGCCCCAGCATCCGCAACGAGCAAGACCGTATAAAATTTACTTAGCCACAATCGGAATTTTTCCTGAACGTAATGTCGCCCATCTTGGCTTCAAAGCTAAGTAGAAGAAGGCTGCAAACGTTTGCTATTCTACGGTACTGAGCTTCTCATTCTCCCTATCGCTATTCTCATTGCTGCCTTGAAGGCAGTTGGCACGATAAATCCCTAAGACGAGTAGGATTAATACGCCTGGCAGGACGGAATTCCGCGACCCTGAGCAGGCGCTGCATAGCGCCTTTTCCAAGGAAGGTACCCTTATAAGGGCCCTATCAAGCTACAACATACCGACCCGAACGCCCACCACGCCCGCCCGCCCACAAATGGACGACCGTACCTGATGCTCGTATTGCTTCATTTGCGAAGTAAAATATGAAGCGAAGGGATTGACATGAAGCGGCCGCGGTGCTGCATGGATATATGAGTACATACATGCAGCCGTATCTACCGTAGCGGTTATTGGCAAGATGCCTACGGGAAACTCGTCCGAAATTGCTTTTGAGTCATTAAAGGCAGTTGGCACGATGGTTTCCTACTTAGCCTAAAATGCTAGTAGGGCGCTGTATAGTGGGGAAATGGCGAAAGAACGGAGTGAAACGGTCAAAATCCTGCGAAGAAAAAGCCTCCGTTCTCAGTGACTTGTAAATCGATTTCGGACGAGTTTCCCGTAGGCATCTTACCAATCACCGCTACCGAAGATACGGCTGCATATGTGTACCCATGTATGCATGCAGCATCACGGCCGCTTCATACCAATCCCTTCGCTTCATAATTGCTTAGCAAATGAATGAATACGAGCGTCAGGAACGGTCGTCCATTTGTGGGCGGGCGGGCGTGGCGGGCGTTTGGGACGTAAAGTTGTGGCTTGATAGGGCCCTTATAAGGGCACCTTCCTCGGGAAACCGCTATGCAGCCGCATGCCGAGGTGGCGCGGTATTCTAACCGCTGCCGGAGTAGTGATCCTAGTCGTCTTGGGGATTTAACTCGTGCCAACTGCTCTGCTTTCGTTTTTTTCGCCATTTTCCCCATTATGTAGCACCGTGCTAGCATTTCAGACGGAGTACCAGTTTATCGTGCCCTATGCCTTTAAGCTTCTGAGTGATCCTACCAGTAAGACTCCCATATCGATGACTGGACGAAGTCTCTTTTTGTTTGTACACCAGCAGGGCCTGCCTGCAGAACTAGAAACGTTTGGCCATAGGAGCTCCACCATGCCTATAATTTGTAGCATGTGATCCCACTTGATGCAACCGGCCCACCCTTTTAGGCTGGCTAATTGCCTTACGTTTACCTTTCTATCTACGTATTGCCCGCCCTGCCTTTTAACACGTTGACGACCGTGCGGGTTTTTACTTTTTCGGCCTCGTGGGACACGCGCGCTTTCTCGAACGCCACAAGCGCGGTACGCATACAATTCACGCGGTCCCACGAGGCGCTTTTTTGGAGATTGGATCGGAAAACCTGGTTGAGAGAGCAATTATGAAGTAAGTCAATCATTCACTATGGAAAAAACTAGGCTGGCCAACTCTCGTTGCACTAGGTGCCAGAAATTTGTCTGTAACCAATGTTTTCATAAAAAACACAAGTCGTGCCTTCTACAGGACTCAGAATCCTTCATCTTATATTTTTTAATCATTATCAATATGGTATTTATCTGCATTTGTTAGTAAAGTGTTGAAGAGCAAACCAATCCAGAGTTGAGGAGCAAACCAGTCCAAGCAAATGGTGTTCTTTCCCCAAGAAGTCTTTGCTAAACTAGTGTGTACTAAATTATTCCATGGACCACGCGTTGTACGAGTATACTAAGGACTGGAATGAATAGGAGAAACTAAACAAAAATCATGCACTAGTGAAAGATATGGATTTGTTGATCGTGATTCGTATTCAATGCACGCGGTCCCACGTGGCCTACAAAGCGTGCATTCAATGCGTAGCGGTCGTCAATGTGTTAAGATGCAGAATAGCCACTGGAATTAACCCATGATTCTAGTGTTGAAAGCATTGTGCATCGTTCCAGAGAAGTTCCCTTACTTAATTCGCCGTCTTAAATATTACCTTGATCCTTGAACGGTACCTTGATCCTTAACTGGCGTGAGTTTGCCGGCTTTCGCCCAATCCATCTCCGCCGGTCTTCTGATACCGTCTCGCAAAGGTGTGTCTTCAAACCGCGGCCCATCGATTCGTAGTTCGCGCATATTTCCAGAGAGATACTGAATTCCTACATATTCATGTTTTAATTCATATGCACACTTCATTTCCTTACGTACCCGAATCATTTCCTCTTCGGTCCAGTCAGCAAACTTCGTAACGTCGAGGTCGAGACCGGGATGTTTACGCTCTTCCTCCTCGAAATCTTCAACATTTTTGACAAAGACGGAAAACCGGAACGCTCTTTCTTCATCGGACGCGTATTTCTTGTTGAAACTGCAACACTTTCAATTAAGGACTAGAACAATACAGCAAGGTAGATCAAGCTTTTTGAGACTTTCTGCTAGGTTTTTTTATTTTATTTATTGACTTTTATTTATTTATCTGCCAAGTATTTACTGGTGTGTAAAATATAAAAACAGTTGAATTGGCCCTGGGCTTCCAGACAGCCTACAGCGTCTTTGTGCGAAACCCATCCCAGAGTTTGTTTGGTCTTGAGGAAAGTTAGTACGACTGTTGATTTTTTCCGTCTCTGCCCACCTCTCCTTGGTCGCGCTTCGGCGCGAATTTTTTGATGTTGATTGGTGGTATCTACAACCTCCTCTCCCTCGCTCGATTGCGGTCCGATTTTTACTAGAGCGGGTCGTAAAGAGATCTTCCTTTTTGGGAGGGGTCGTAGTGACGCCATCGCTTTACCCATCCCGATGCTATCCTTTGCTCCCAGACTTCCCCCGTAGGACAGTTGAACTTTTTATCTATGTTTCCACTTTCTTACTTCTTCTTCCATTTTTCCTTTATGGTACTGGAATTAATGACCCGAGCCTATAGCTCCCACAGGTTCCAAGGAAGTGAAAAATCAACCCCTATCGCATTCCTCGTATAATCAACTTCCATCGAACATGAGGAGCAAATTGCTCGAAGGATAAGCTGTGAAGTTGAAGGTCAAGGGGCCTATGTTGAGGCCTATCTTCTCGTACCAAAATCCTTTTCTAGGTCTCGGAGGATGCTGGCCTTCGGTCCTTGACCAGTGACTTCGCCACTGGTGTGCTTCGAATTACATACTGAGCTCTCCTGAATTTGAACGTTCGTTTTTCATTCCCTTCGGCGCTGAATGCTGATTATGACGCCGTTATTCTGGCGCTCGGTAGGAAAGGGTAGGGGTCTCGCTTGTTGGCAGACGCCGGAAAAAAATGGGGGAGGAGGTCGATGGCCTTCCTGGTTGAAGGTGCTTCCGGCTGTATACTTTGCTTTTTCTTCCTGTCAGCTTCACACGGAAAGAGTATTAGCGTATGCAAGAAAGAGTGGAGTCTCCGTATACGTAGATCAATCCCTTTAACGCACGACAGACGAGAGATACAGCGCGACATTTTACTTCCATTGAGAATCTTAGTGGTTACTGAATGCGATGAAAGTCTTATAACGCGTGGACTCACAGGGGCAAAGCCGATATACAAAGTTCCAGTGTTCCCTAAAAGGTGTGATCAGCCTGAATGGAAAGCCGACTACGAGCTGACCCAGAAGTCACGTAAGGACAAGCGTTTTCCACTTGCCAGCGACAGATGAAGGCACGCTGTTGCCGTCGATCAAGCAATCTTTCAACAGATAAGCTTTCTATTCTTAACTGCACTAATTATGTCAGCAGTACTGTTCCATGGATCTATGGCTGGGTATTGTCAAAGCAGTGTTCCAGCGGCAGGGATGTGGCCCTATCGAAACAATCCACCTGGTAACACATGCAGGTTTAGCTACGTTTTCTGTTTTCAATATTAGGTTGGCGGGAAAGTTCTGTCACTTTTTTCAAATTGGGCTTTCTTTTTATAGAGGCGTGTAAGATCAAAATTGTACAGCAATGTTACTGCGGGGTCCTTGCCTGTTTTTGAGCACCTCATGGATGCCATCGCTTCACAATGCAGGGAGGCGCGATACAAAGTTGGACATCATCTCAATCTTGGCTTGAACTCAGACTTTTCGAGGTTTTCTCGTAATTTCTCGTCCAGTAATGATTGATTACGGGAGGCAACTCGCAGTTAGAAGGAGCAATGTCTGTGCTACACCACTGCAAGGGGAGAGCCATCCAGCTCTATTGCATGAGGAACGGCTAGAACTTTTTTGGAAGTGCGCTGCACTATCAGAAGCGGTGGAGGGGTCGGTGCGATGGTAGCGGGTAACATTCTTGTCGCATGGTAAAACATCTTGTCCATATTGCAGAAGAAGAAGAAGCAGGAATCAAGCGAGTGGTACTAATAGAAAGACCACTCTTTGAGTGCTCACATTACCGTTCACCCCTCTTCAGGTAATGGGCAAATATTTTGAGTTCGAAAAAGTGACAGAACTTTCCCGCCAACCTAATACAAACTTTGTCTCTGCTAAGTTTCATCAAACTAACTTAGACTCTTCCACCGGAATGAGTTCTGGAAGTATGAACAGCTCCCTCATACAGTCCCAACTTGCCGTCAATTCCTATCGTATTCCTGTGGTGTCTCATTCTCTATCATGATTTTCTCAGGCCTCCACCAGACTATTACCTAAGAGGTGTACTAGTGGGCCTATTGTTGGATCCGACAACCTATCTTGTTTACCTGTCGATGAACTCCTGGAACATTTGTGCATAGCGATCTTCTTCACCTTCCGATTTTTCCAGGTATGATTGTTTCTGAGACCATTTACCCTGGAAAATTGTAGTGTGTACTTATGACGTCATCGTTATCTACCACCATTGAATAGTAAATCCTTCAGAAAGCTTCAAGTTATATTGCATCAAGTCACTAACTTGTTCGATATTCCGAATTGCTTGATTTTTGGATTTCTGGCGTTTTTTTTTCATTACGCTTTGCACAGGAAATGCTTTATCAAAATGCATTTCTATTTCTCTATCTGCTTTGAATTATGACAAAATCTCAAGTTCTGACTGTTCTGTTCGAACGCTTTTCTTTTTCAAAATCCTCTCAGACATGCCTAACAGAGCACCTCCTGTTGACCCCCAAGATTTCCTCCTCCTTCGGTGCAGCCGCCACCTCCTCCCCTTCCCATCCTACCTACTGTGCTACTGTCTTTTCGCGACTTTTCGTTACTTTTCCAAAAATTTTCCCGCTGTGTCCAAAATACTGCCGTGGAGCCGTCCGTCGAGGGGGGGGGGGGGTAAGGGCTAGGTCGCTACCAAACATCTGCTAAACTCAACCATCAAAAATACTAGTATAGGTTGGGTCACCAATCAAAGCACCAGCAGTACGCCCCTCCCCTTTTTTTTCAAACGATGTGGGTAGCGGGCGTGAAACAGGAAACATCAACTATCAAAAAAAAAGCTCTCACACCAAATAAGGCTCTCCATCCGCCTGCCGCGCCGACAGCGAAAAGTTCTCACACCAAATACGGCTCTCCCTCCCCCCAGCGACCAAATACGACTTCCTGTGGAGATTTCTCATCGCACTACGTGCTCACATTCCTATTCGCGATTTATTGGTTGAAGGGGCATGTGGTCTTTTAAAGACCTTCGTTGCCACGACTCAATTTTCATTTTTGCCTAGTAAAACCGGAATAATGTTGTGAGTTTCCATACCCTTCAATAGCTCATCCCATGGTAATTATGCGGTCAGGCCTACCACTGTGCCTTCGTCAATCTGCACCGCTTCACTATACAAGAAGGGGCGCCAATGAAGAAGGCACCAACGTAAGACCGGCCCCGCCTACACTGTCAGCGTGGACTGAGTCGGTAATTGCACCATCTGTCAATGAAGGTGGTTAAAGTAGATACCTGATTGTATAATACATAAACGATTTTAGCGATGGAAAGAAGTATGAAGATCAGAAGTAGGCACTGAGTACATACGGCAATAGCGTTCACAAATCGTTGTGTTAAGCTCGGAGATCTGCAAAATAATGAACCTAATATGCTATAGAAATATAACAGAAAAGGAAAAGAAAATAAAAATTCCAAAAGGTAGTCATTTCACTGTGAAATAATACTGTATGCAGTCTTTTTTTGCTGCGAATGCTCGCGTGTGTCAAGGGCAAGGAGGCTGGGTATGATGCAGCGCCAGCCAGCTATCCACCAGTTGTTTAGCCCGGACCAAAGTTGGTGGAGAACTCTAAGGAGGTGTATCTAAATCAGTCTTTGTTGGGTTAGAGGTTACTTACGAAGAACTGAGAACAACAGATATGATCTTTCGCAGTTGGAGCAGCGCCAGACCGAGCCCTCTTGACACACCTCTGCATCCGCACCGAAGAAAATGTCAGATGTCGGTATATAAGCGACCAATTATGTAAACTATGTAAATAAAATTTATCTGCATATTAATTTCATTATGATTCTCTTTTTTCCATGGGGCAGGGTCATGAGAAATGACTAAGTTCGATCACCCAGCTTTTCATTACTTTCCATGGAGGGCTTTGGCTTTTT